TCCATGACTGAATATTCACAACCACTGTGCCAAATAAAAGTTTAGCTTTCCGCGAAACTATACTATAGGTTTACGAAAGAATCACGTTTAAATTCAGAAAAATAAATAAGTATCACGTACTATTTACAGCAATTGTAATAATAAAAGTGCCTGCTTGTCCTCAATTCCATTACTTAACATGCAGCAGATGTTTTTACAACTGAGTCATTCCCTGCATCATCACACGAGCTGAATATTATGCGATAACGCTTCACTTACCCCAATTAATGGAACGCATTCAATAAATTTCTGTGTGATTAATTAGGCAGGATTTGTTATTGTAAGGTACAACCCGGGATTTAGGTATTCAGCCGTCATCACCGATAATAAAGCCGAACCCGTTTCAAGACTTACACAAGCACAACAACAATAAGCAGCCCTTCCACTCGCACTCGAATAATGAAAAAGAGCTAAAAAACTTAATCACGCAAATCAATATGTAAAGTCGCTCTTAAATTGATTACAAGCCCTTATTTGTTCAGGCCCTCGACCTAAAGAAAATATATATTTTCGCAATTACTTTGAAACAAAACCGCAAATCAATATCAAAATTAATGGGATATTTCTCAGTTCAGACGCGTTCATTTTTATTAAAGCAACTAAAATAAATCACCGGTCAATGCATAAAGTTGTGATAAATTGAGCGCGAGGGTTGTTTTCGTCGAGGGATTGTTAAGAGAAATACTGCAATAAGGCGTTTTTGGCGTTTGATCCCCAAGAATACGAAAATGCATATTTCCACTCGTCTGTCATTAGTATATGTTCGACAAAAAGATTTTTGTATACCTATACACTTTTAGATATTTAATATTTAATTATCTGATAAAATTATCCACTTCAAATAACAATTGTCTAACAATGCATTCACAACCTTTTCAAACCTCCGAAAATCATTGAAAAAAAAAGAGAAAGAATGACATTCTTTATGTCAATTTGGTCTCTATTGTCTTATTTAAGGCTATAAATTCTGTCAAAAACCTAGCCATTGTTAAAATTATTATAAAAAGGCATATTAGCTTGAAAAATATTTTCTTGGGATATAATTACTACAATACTTTTTAGAACATAAACTTCGACAACGACGGAAATAACTTCATGCCTTAAGCAATTTGTTTAATCGATATAAATTTTCGTTTCCAAGAAAAAAAGCTACACAAAGTACCAAACCGAGTTTAAATTTAAAGTTAAAATACTGAGGTAAATTATTTCGTTTTTAATTCATAAACAATAAAGCTACGAACCCCAGGATAGGCAACAGGTTATTATTATAACAGGGTCAACACTTCTGCCGGGTCGTAATTCACTGATAGGTATAATAGCTGTTCATTTGGGAAAGTCAAGTTGCCTTTGTTTTTTTGCTAAAAGAATCTTGGTGAAAAACGCATGTGTTTTATTAATCCATACGGTTGACATTTGATGGAATTGCTGAAAAGCATTAGTTTTATTATATGAAAAAGTGCGGTTAAGTTGTACCATTCTGCGTTGTCAGCTGTCAGCGACTGAATTTTAAGTACACTTTTGTCATCATAAAGTTATACAGACTGATTCAGCGTAAATGACGAATTTGACTTAACCCGATAGGCACCCCAAAATACATTATTCGGCTACTCCTTGATCCATAGCAGAAGTTAAAAAATATCATTAATCCAACTTTGCATCTTTTGTCACTCTCAATTTTGAACAGTTGAAAATTATGCAAAAACGCCAAGATATTCGTTTACTAATACCGAGAAAACGGGCATGATCTTAATTTATGGAGTGTCAAAAAAATTCTCTAGTGGCGGCAAATTTGTACCCTCGGAGATATCCCGAACCTAGACATCCAACAAATAAAATTTTCAAAAGTCTTGAAATGAAATTACGAAACGGTCGGCTTGTGAGTAAACGGAGAAGTGTTTTAACCGCTACACAGTTTTGGAGACTGTTTTAGAAAATACTCACATAGGGCAGCGGGCGAGAGAAATTGGTATAAGTCAATCTTCTATTTGTCGAATGTTAAAGGGTAACAAATTCCACCCGTATTAAATTCGGTTAGTTCAAGAACTACGAGAGACTGACTTTCCACGAAGAATTTTACAATTGTTTCGGAAGCAGTTCCTAAATGATTCCAATTTTTGTCCGAAACATTTTATTTAGTGACGAGGTCAAATTTTCCAAAAATGGTAATGAATAAATCAAAATTATAAAACATTTTGAAATTTAATTTTGAATCTGCAAAATCAAATACTTTTAGATCTTGCAGATGTTTTAAAATTATGATAAACATAATAAATTTTTAATCAAAATGCATTTGCTCATTCCCCTCTAAAAAATTGATGACGTCACCTCAAACTTTTTTTGAATATATCCTATAATGTGGAAAATATCATGACTCTGAAGTCTTGGAGATGTTTTAAAGTTATTATAAGCATGGTAAATTTTCAGTCCAAATGTATTTGCTCATCCCACCTAAAAATTTGATGACGCCACCGAAAAATTTTGCTGAAAAAATGCTATCTTAAATGTGTAACGAATGATGAGTCTGTACTTGTGATTTATCGCTGCATTAATATTTTTTAGATTTGCTTATACGGGGTGTCTGAAAAAAATTAATGCCTGAGTCAATTAATTTTATTGATTAAATCAAGAATTGCAAAACTGAATACTTTGAAATCTTGCAGAAGTTTTAAGGTCATTCATTATAAGCATGGTAAATTGTTAATCAAAATAAATCTGTTTCCCAAAAAAAATTGATGACGTTATTTCAAAATTTTGCCGAATAAATTCTACCCAAAATGTGCAAAATATGATGAGTTTTTACTTGTAATTCATCATAGCATTCATATTTTTTATTGATCAAATTAAGAACGAGTCACGCCATTTTCCCGAAAATGTGAAAACACAAACGTCTTTAATAACAAGAATTATAATAATTATATTCAGAACATTTTTTCGATTGTAGCTTGCTAGTTAATTGTTTTGATCCTCTGTTTTAAGAGGACGAACTCATTCAAATCAAACTAATTTCTAGGTGACATTATTCCGATGTATAAACATAAACACTTTCATGTTGTTTTTCTTATCGAGGATAACCGACGTACAATAATGGAGACCATTGGGCAATTTGTTACTTTCAAATTTTCTCGATATTTCATAACCCCTACACAAGTTATAATTAACCAAATATGAATTACAGCATCCAAAAACCGAACAAAATGTAGTTTTATTCAATAAACGGAAAACAGAGCAATAAAAAAGTGTGAACCGTCGGCATTGTCATCCGGTTGTTCCAATTCGTAGAGAACATGTTTTAGTTTAATTTGTGGTTCACCGTCTACAGGTTGATAAGTGTTATGGCTATTTGTCTTAAATTACAAGTACTATACAGGGTTGCCTTTTATATGTTCACCCCTGACAATGTTTGCATAGGCAACATATTATACACCCCAGAGGCGACTTTGTCCAATTTATTATTATTTTTTAATAAGCAATCATAGCAATCACAAAAAAAATGACAAAGATGTCAAAACTAATACTTAATTTATTTTAAAATCCCCCGCTACAAAAATGTAATACGAAAAAATACAAGAGGCATGCAGTTGTCACGTTTCCGACAGCGAGGGAAGTACTGTCTAAACTCTTTAGACCAATTTTTTAATGGAATATTATAATAATGACATGTCTTTACTGGGTTTCCAGTGCTTCTAGAAAATATATTGTATACACTTTTTTTAAACATTAGCATTTCCAAAATAAATAATAGAGTCAGTAGTCAATACCAGATTTGGGAAATTTTTGTGTTACAATTCGTTTAGTAATTTTTAACCATCATAAACTTACCCTGAGGGGTGAATAAAAGTACTGTAATTTCTGAATCAATTAGTATCGAAGTTTCTAAGGTGCTTGTTATGCATTCTTTAACATAAATTGTAAAATTGGAGAGTCTAAAGTTTTTTTTTAACTGGAAAAAAGTTCAAAATGCGGCAAACTGAAGCTGCTTAAAAATATATAAAAACATCTATATTTTAGAACCGATTTTTGTTTGAAAAATTTTGGTTAAAGGTTTTTCATCTTCGTAACAATGGTACGCTTTAATTAATAACAAGTAATCAATTTGTTTGTTTCAAAGTTGGAAAGATCAAAGAAGCGAAGTTAAACTCGAATCAAAGGGACATTGTTACAATACTTTTTTTGTGACGACTCAAAAAGTGAAAAATGTTATGCAATTTTAATTAAAACCTTACAATATAGCTGCTGAAAATTTTTGGCGTACTGTCGAAGCAATAAGGAAAATAATTTAAGGTCTTCATAGATTCCACCATAAAAAGTAAGTTTTTTCTAGCTTGTACACAAATGGATTTTGGCGCTATTTCTAATGCTCCATTGACGACATGACAATATTGGAAACAAATGACAAATTTTATATTACGAGATATTGAGATGCTTTATTTTATACATGAGAAGCCACCTTACATCAGGTCGTTATAACACTGAATACATATAATCTCTACCTGTTATCTTTGTGGAATAACCTTCAGACCCTGGATCCAAAGAAAGTAAATATTTTCGCAATTATTTCGAAGCAAAACCGCAAATCAATATCAACGTGTTCATTTTTATTAACTCAACCGTCATTAATCAGCGCACCTGCAAACAAATCGCAGATATCAAACACCGATAAAAGTAAAGAAATAAACCGATAATTAAGCACGACAATGTTCCGAGTCCCCTCGTTCTCATCCAATTAAAACCATCTGTTGACAGTGATCAAGAAATCTAACTTTTAACCTTTCGATTTAACCCAATTGACTTCAAGCGGCGCAAAATTACAATGCAAGACAAGACAAGGAGGAAATTTAAAAGCGAAACAATTCCAAAACTGCGTTAATTAACCTGCGGAAGAGCGGTTTTCCATCCTGTAAAACTTGATAACATATCAAATGGCATTGACACGCATTTTTTATTTTTTCCCGAAAACTTACCTTTCAAATCTGCAGTTACGTCACAGGATCGAGTCACTTTTCACTTATGTTCATGCCTCTTTAGAAGCGCGCTTTTTTTCCCGGAATCGTGGGCCCTATACTCCGGACCTGTTAACGCGTACTGAAATTTCAGTTTCCCCGGCTAACGCTGTGCACAAAAGCACATGCGCGGTGCTTTTATTGTGTTGTGCAGGCACAGTTTTTTTGCTGATTGCACGGTTCCGGTATCTAATTATTTTTCTTTTTTCCGGGGAGGGGGAAGGGCGTCAAGGTTTTATTGGATTCTCAAGCTTCGAGAAGTGGAAGGAACAAATCTCGAAATGGAATTCCAATTTCTTGATTGACGAACCATATAATTTGGTAGCAGCGGGATTTAAAGCGGCATCTCGTGCTCACTTTCATATTGAAAGGAAGAATACTTCGTAATGATGCTGTGGCGATGGCTCTAATGTGGTGGAGGCGCCGGGTTTTCTACATCTCGGCTATATCTATAATCGCAGTTACGTTTCACAGGTGAATATGCTGCGGAAAATTATCGTTATCAAATTTTGAACCATGATATAGTTGCCATTATGGTGTAAAGCATTGGAACAATGCGGCTTTGTTTCAGAATAGAGCTTAATTACAAACAAGCTCGACGGTATAATCACTACAGCTAGAATAAATAACAATGAATGGTTTGGAATTTCAAAAACAGTGTTCGTGTTTTAGCTTTAGCGAAACTTTTATTTTGTCAGGAATGTGCTTGCTAAAAAACTTGTAGTTGCAGCTTACCGATTTTTCTACTTTGCGATATATATGTATGTAGTAAAAACGTAATTGCCGAAAATATTTTGATCACGTAATGAGTATACAGCAGATTACAGTTTTGCAAACGTCAATGTGTTTAGCTTGAAGGGAGAAGCTTAATTTAGTGTAGCCGATGCAAATTGCACGCATATATTTGCAAAATTACGATTATAATAATATTAAACAGCACTTTCAGTAGACAAAAGAAATGGTCTAAAGTTATTTAGGCAGAACAAAAATTTTTGATGGTGTTTACATTTATATTTATATTTATATCAGCCTGAATAGGACCAGTGTAATAATAATAATACCCAAATTTTCGGGAAAATGGGACGAGTGGTTTTTTGATTTGATCGAAAAATAGATTGCGTCATTCATTAAATACATCCCGAGCGTAAGCGAATACTTTCATGTTTTTTTTCTGGACATTTAATAATCCCGAAAAAAGTAGTGTCCCATCCGTCTGTCTGTTGTCTTTAGTCTGTCTGTCTAGCGTCTGTGTCGATTTTTATGAGACAGATAATCTCCGAAACTACCAGACCGATTGCCATCAAATTGTATGTGTTTTAGCAGTATCGCGTAGATGGTAAAACACTACGTAAAATTTGTTTCATCATTTCCACCTATATTTTGATGACGTCATCTCAACATTTTGTTTAGTACAAGCCGTATAAATTTTATAAAATAACAAACTCTTGTACTTATGGTTGATTTTGTTTGTTATTATAATTTTACTAGTATTCAATATTTCTCATAGTAATACTGTTCTTTAAATACATAATACCTACCATCGAAACATTGGCTATGGTTTCAGAGCAACCACAGTAGCTTTGCAACGTTATTTTAATTTTATGATTTCTCAAAGAAGTTCAGATAGTTGGACTGTACTTTACGGAGTACAAATAACCTTGGACCAATATTTTTGTAATAAGAAAATCTCGTGTCTTATTTAATTACAAAATCCTAAGAAATATTTTTTGCATTCATTATCAAACAAGCAAACATAATCGTAAATAATTATGACCATCGGTCGTCTCCGCTTTCTGTTCTCAGTTTATGGTTTCTTGGAAATATGCGTTGAAAATTGTATTTATATTATTGTATTCTTCTTGTATATATTGTATTCTTCGATATTTTTATGAGTATGGTTGTTGTGAGTGGCACCTTATTTAGAACTGCTTGTACAGAATGACCCAAAAAAATGTTGACTTGGGCAATTTATTTTAATCATTAAATCAAGAATGGTTCACTCAATTTTCCAAAAAATTTGGGAATATGGTACTGTTTTTATTGGTGTTGCACTGCACTTATTCAAATTGGTACACGAGTCTTTTACTAGAATGTTGATGACGTCATCACAAAATTTTTTAATGGAAACATTCACTTGAAACATGCGAATAGCTTTACTTTAGTCCACACATATTTTTATTTTAATTTATAAGAGCAAATTCAAATTTTATAAATTTTCGGAAAAGGATAAGTTGTACTTCAGAGGCGAGGGAAGTTCTGTCTGAATTCTACAAATATGATTGCAATGACAAAGCACAAGTATAAATACATTATATTTTGCATATTTTAGATAGGATTTATTCGGCAAAATTTTGATATGATGTCATCAATGTTTTGAGAAGGGAGAAATGGATAAATTTTGATTAAAGATCACTTGCCAATTCCTATAACCATGGAAAGTAAGCGTACGTTTAGCGCCTCTATCGTGTAGTACATAAAAGTTTAAATTAGATCTACTGTTGTAAAATTTGGAGATGATGTTTTCCTATTGTTGCTAGGGGCAATTAGACAACTTTGGTTAGCGCTTTACCGTCTACACGTAATATACATAGACAATTTTACACCAATCGGTACAGTAGTTTCCGAGATTATCTGTCTAATGAAAATCGACACAGGCAGACGACAGACGCCAGACAGACGGAAACGCAAGACTTTCTTTTTTACATGCTTTTGGGGTCATGAAACATAGAGAAAACGTGAAAGTAGCCGTTCGTCGCATAGACCCTATTACAGTACTTCTTAGCTACGCCCAGGATGTAATAAAAAGATCAAGTACTACCACTTTATTTTATAACCAGTTTGTAAGATCGTTATTTACGCATTTATCTCTTTCCGCACTTTACACAAAACATTTTATTATTTTGCAACTTGTCGCAGATAAAGAATATCACTTACGAAAGTGACAGAAACATTCCTAATTCAACGCATATTACGCCAAATCCTTTACGTATCACAAAATCCAAAATAAATCTAAGAGCATTAAATCTGGGCTGCGAGCTGGATACAAGTAGGGTCTCTATTACCAACCTTATTTTCATACTAAATGTTGTTCATAATTAAAAATTTCAACCATTTTCGACAAGCAGCAAAATGTTATAGTAGTCCAAGATTTGCGACGTTAAAATTTGGAGTAGTAGTATAGCTGTGTTTACACAGCAGTTTTCATTTAGATAATTTATATTATTTACATTATTAAAACTATGCACCACATATTATAAGTGTTTTATATCAGTATCGTATATGCATTATATTTGCGGTGTATTAAATTAAACTAAGCTCCGCCTTCAAATGGGGTTTACATAATTTCGGTGTTTCTATTCGACCGGGCGTTTTATCTACGACACCTTGTATTAGAGGAATTATCTAAAAAGAAAGTAAAATTGTTCATTCATATTCATATAAATAGTTCATAATTCATCAACAGATAGTTTGAGAGAAGATTCCCTTTGGCACATTGTTACTACTACAAAACCGTGCCAGCTTACAAATTACAAATAATAGAAAACTACGATATCGGGTGATGTTTGTAAACATTATTTGTAAAAGCAAGAGATTTTGTAACATCAAGTGCATAGAGATTAATATTTGTTTATAATGATGACACTGAAGGCAACGTAATACATCTGTTAAACTTCAAAGGTCAAAGTGACAATAATACAAATATTTTCAAAATGACAGAAAAATGACGTCTGGCCTTGACTGTATATATTGCAATAAATTTTTGAAATACCGTTTACTTTCAAAGGGAATAAACATAATGCTATTGTGTTTTTATAATTTTCAGAAAACGTTAAGTTAAAACTTAAGAACACCAGTAAAGCAAAATAAGTACGACATTTGGAAACATTTTTCTATAAAAAAATTGTTTAATAATTTTTTAATGTAGGTAGCAATAAAGTTATGAAATTACCCCAAGTCAAACTTTTTCTTTTTCTATCTTATGCACTTTGTGTGAGACAAAAAATCGCCAAATTTTGAGTAGGTCGTAGAGTCTTATGTCAAATTTTGAAATTTGTCGTTTTTCCCAGTCAAAAATGAAGCGATTTAACAACCAATCAAAACAAATAATTTTAAATGTGTTAGACTATCTTGACAGAAATCAAGACGTTTCGGAATTTCAGAAAAAAAGAAAGACAGAACTGGCAGCAGAAATGTTGAAATTTCGGAAAGATCTGTCTACAGGCTACTAAAAAGTCCAGGTTTAAGTATATAAAGTGGTTGTTTCTAAAGAATACATTACTATTAAGTTGGTGCACGATCGAGTAATGGAAGAGACTCCCGATTTTAACGTTGGTCCTAGATCGTTAACCAACTGGATAAAGAAAATTGGTTTCAAATTTAAGAAAAATAGTAACAGATTATTATTTTTAATGCAACGGCCCTCAGTTAAATCAAAAAGAATACAATTTTTATGTGAATACCACCAACACTAGGGAAACAATATTTATGAACCTATTTTTCTTGACGAAACGTGGGTATTTAGTAAGGGTAGCATATGCAAAAAGACATGGGAAGACGGTTCAGTTAACACTGCTATTTCTACAACTGGAGAAGGGTGTAGATACAGTTTGGGACACGGAATTTCAAACGACCTGTCAATCATAATGACAATACAGTATAAGACTACAATGTTTTGAAATGTCAGAAAGTTGGTTGTCGTTTGAAATTCCGTGTCCCTAACCGTACATTGTGGTTCACGCTGGAAATAACAATAGTTTTATTGAAGGAATTTCTTTGATTTTTAAAACTAATAACCTGGAGACTATCACGATAACATGAACCAAGAAAATTTTTAAAAATAGTTCAAAGAACAGTTGATACCAAGTTTGCGGGAACCTTCTCTTATTGTGATAAATAACGCAAGTTATCATAGTAGACTTGAGATGTCAATTTAGTCTTCATAGGTATTCAAATATTGTAATAAAACTTTACTTTGTTTGTACGAAGAAATTCCTCTAAAAAGTTGGACAAAGACAAAAATGATAGCATATTTAAATAAAAATGGGGTTGATTTTCTACCCAAGGGGATATTGGCTAACAAACAACCCCAAAAATGTTATCATTTGAATTTATACGCCCAACATTATGGGCACTGAGTTTTGAGACTGCCA